CGTCTTCACTAAGAAGTATGATCGAACATCTCCCACCCACGGGGGAGGGGGCTGGGCGGGATGGTGGGCCCTCATCAGTGGATTGAGTAAATTGCATACTAGGCAACACGACGGCTCGTGCTGGGTGGCCGAGGGATTTGGAGATGTATGCACGGCTCTTTAAAACAAAACACAAACCCGCGGTTGAAGCCCATTGCCATTGGTCCGCTCACTTTCTGGCCGTGGACTCAAATTCCATGACCAACCCCGATGCCTGCCAGACCATTTTTTTTGTATTATTATCGTTTATTTGGCCACATTCGACAGGCAGTGCCGGTGGAAACTGTACGGGCAGAATGAGCCCACAGCAGCCGCCGCTACCGCCGCCACGCTAACGCTAACGGCACCCTCAGGATGACGGACAAAAAAATGCACCGCTGTATTTGTGCAGTGCTGCTAAATAGTTGGCCCTTGACATGTACCTGCAAACAGTGGAGGGGGTGGGGGGAAACTTCTTCCAGCGAATTATGTGTTTTCATAGAGCCAGGCGGTAGAGTAGTAGCAGAATTTGAGCAAATATATCCTAATAATAATAATAACCGTGCCCGCATCGCAAGAATAAGACAACGCGAAGGCGGTTCTTGACACTTCTTAGAATTTATAGCCCGGATTTTTCGGGCAGAACATTTTTGAGGGACGGAGGGAGAGGAGCGATTGTGCAGACGCGTTTTGGCTCGCGTTGTGTAGAGAGGGGTATAAGCCTACGGCCAAATCACATGGAATTCGCCCAATAATCATGAAAACTGGGCAGCTAAGCGGTGGAGTTGAGCTTGAATAATGCTCGGATGGGTGACCATCGTGTAGAACCCGTACAGACCGGCTCGGTGAAGAATGGTCACATAGCTCCCAAGACTCGCATGGCACGGGTAGGCCCTCATTCAGCAGTGGATAGACAGAAGGGGCAGCTTATGCTAACCCAGATGGCACATTGGTATTTAAGTTGTCGTTCGCCCGATGCGTCATGTAAACCGCAAGCGATACAACTACCGTAATCAAGTGTGTAACAATGCTCTTTGTATTCAGGGCTCCTGTCCAGAAAGGCCCGGCAATGAGCATGTTTGGCCATTTCCATCGACGAGAAACCTTGGCTTGACGTGGGAGGAATCTTGGGCATCCAGAAACAAAACGCCACTGCGCGTACGAGTTGGTAGCGCCTCAAAGCTCTGCAAAGATGGATTCAACCCACCTCCCACACTGCCATCTCGTGGCCACCTTGTAGTTCAGTGGGTTTGGGAGTTTATAAATCTCCAGGATGATCCACCAACAGTCACCTCCAAAGTGCTGAATCACAGACATGCGCCCCCACGCACATCTGCCGAAACAGAAATTGCATCAGCTTCCCCAACATCAATTTAATAAATGTGTGTCGATTAATTCAAGATGATTTTTTTTTATTTGTGATTACATTTACGCAGCATGCAGTGACTGATAATCATTATGGTGATGTTAAGTAGAGTTTGGGTGTTCGCAAAAATCATGATTTTTTTTTTTTTAGAGAGGATTGTCACTTAATCTGTTGTAAAAGACCGGCGTCCCGTTTGTCCGTTTGTTTGTCAATTACATTATAAGAGCCTTTCAGAAGGCCTGAATTAAAATGTAAAACGTTTATCCAACAGGTTTACAACAATTGTCGACACCCCTCCCCAAAAAAGACATTTCTTTCGTAGGCATATATACCTACACACCCTACATACAACAGTCAGTAGTATCTACATATATACCTACACACCCTACATACAACAGTCAGTAGTATCTGCATATATACCTACACACCCTACATACAACAGTCAGTAGTATCTTCATATATACCTACACACCCTACATACAACAGTCAGTAGTATCTGCATATATACCTACACACCCTACATACAACAGTCAGTAGTATCTGCATATATACCTACACACCCTACATACAACAGTCAGTAGTATCTGCATATATACCTACACACCCTACATACAACAGTCAGTAGTATCTGCATATATAACTACACACCCTAACTATAATAGAGTCAGTAGTATCTACTACATACCCTTCTTACAATAGAGTCAGTAATATCTACATATATACCTACACACCCTACATACAACAGTCAGTAGTATCTGCATATATAACTACACACCCTAACTATAATAGAGTCAGTAGTATCTACTACATACCCTTCTTACAATAGTCAGTAGTATCTACATATATACCTACACGCCCGACATACAATAGTCAGTAGTATCTGCATATATACCTACACACCCTATATAAAATACAGTCAGTAGTATTCACATATATACCTACACACCCTACATACAATAGAGTCAATAGTATCTGCACAGTTTAACACGTAGGCTTTCGCAACCAATATTATTGATAATAAAGTTTTTTTGGGTTAGATCGCGTAAATATAAATGTGTCGCAACCCTCCACCACCCGACACAACCACTTAGTAAGAGTTTTGTCATCTGCAGCATCTGCACACATGGGGGGCCGGGGAAGAAGAGGACGTCAGTGAGCTCTGAGAAAAAAAATCCCTTAGAGTCAATGATGTATCGACTGGTTTAAATTAAAAGTAGCCCCCCCAAAAAAAGTGATGCGTCGATAAAAGTCAATAATGTTGTGGGATTGTCTTTAAAAAGAAGATTGGTTGTTTAACGTCGATATCAAAGGTGAATTTGTCGGCTTTATCATTGAAATGTTCCAGTTTCCTTGTGGAGCCACGGTGCAAAATTGCGATCTTTAAACGCAAGTCGTTCTGCTATGCAGAATCACCATCACTCGAAACGTCAGCCTATCGCACGCAATGACGAGAATCATCCTTATTTACACAGCGCCTTTCATACCACACGGTTCGCGATGAACTTCACAAGTTAAGGTAAAACTAACATTTACAAACACGCATGTTGTGACAACACTCGGAATAATACATTAACAGAAGCAACACTAATAAAGCAGTAAAATAATAATCATACGATCTCAGAATAAAACCAGAAGGCTAAATTATAATAATTGATTTGAATATTTGATTCAAAACTGTATATTTTGTTATAACAATCATAATAATTTACAGAGTTTTGTCAATTCCCATCGATCGTGGGAGTTCTTTGACCATACTTTCCCATGTTGGTCATGACAAGGTGAAGGTGGAAAAGGTGGCAGCTCTGTTTCAGATTTCACTCGTTACCTATGCTAGCGACGGCTGGGAATCGAACTCAGGCCCTTTAAATCACAGCGCAAGGCAACATCATAATACAACATCATCAATCCTATGGGCTGGTAATGATGAGGATGAGGCGTCAATGATGAGTTGTGGTGATTATTTTATGTGTGTCTTTGCATAACTGCCAACTCGGTTGCTTTAGTTTGTTATAGTTTGGCACGTTCTTAGCTGTGTTTTTATGGATATGTAATCGGGCTGGGGAGAAGCCGCGGTGCGTCGTTCACTGCGCCACGAACAACTGCGATCCTAAGTTCGATTCGCAGTCGCGGCAAACATCGTTGGCGAGTGATATCCAACCCAGATCTGGGGCCCTCGCGTCTTCCAGCCCGCACTGAGCAACCTGGTGACGTCGGGTGAAAATAACTTTTATGATGGGAGGTCTTCATCCAGCGGTGGATTTACAACGCGCTATGAAAATAAAAAATTTAAAAACATAGAACGAATACTCCTTGGCTGGGTTTGCAAACCCACGGTGCAACAATTGGAGGCTGCCCAACTTGTGACACGGAGCGATGTCATCAGAGCGCTCGCAGCAGCACGCGAGGTAACTCCACTCCACCGTGGCGGCGATACCACCACGCTTACTCGACTTGAGCTGGGCTCTGCGTCTACGGGGTCCGTAGAGCTCCCTCGAGTTGTTCAAACTTCGGAGCTTCACCGCGATACGACTACCACCAAGACGAGACAAAGCTCCCCCTTATAGCCTCAACAGACTCCTGGAGAATGTGCCGTTCGCGAGCACTTATGAAGGCTGGAACGGTATACTAGGGGGCGGCGTGGACAGCACCACACCTGGCCGCCTTTGTCTCCCCAGTGGCGATCCTTACACACCGCACCAGATACTCATTTCAGGCTGAGTCGACCTAGACGAGGCCTTGGACAGGTTCAGATAACCGTCACTGGTGTTGGTGGCTGTGAGTGGGAATCGAACTCGGGTTGCCGGGTTTCGTAGCGCCGCGCGTTAACCGCTACACTACCGCCCCCCCCCCCACCACCACTACCACGATATCACCACAACCACCACGATACCACCACAACACAACCACCACCGCCACCACAAAGGCCTTGTGTATAAATCGCATGTGCGCGCCAGTGCGCATTCTTTGCGCTTAATGGTTACCGATCAAGAGCGCGTTAGCGGCGTCCATCGATTAAATATTTGCGGCGCTTGCATTATACACTGCTGGATACGTGACGTACAGTGACACATTATTACCCCTGGCTCGCCCGGGACGCAATTGGATCTCGTTTGAAGACGTTGGATCGCTGCGCTCCCGATGCACTTACATGCAAAGACAAATGTCTCCCGTAAAGGTAAATGACTGTTTGGTTAACAAGTGCTGTTAGCGAGCACCTATAACAGCTCGAAAGGCATACGAGGGGGTGGGTGGGTGGCCGCCACCACGCGCGGCCGCCTTTGTCTCCCCAGCGGCGATGTTTACAAACCGCACTAGGTACTCATTTTGAGGCTGAGTCGATCTAGGGGAGGCCCAGGACCGGTTCAAATAACCGTCACTGGCGTTGGCCATGAGCGGGAATCGAACCCGGGTGACCAGATTCGTGGCGCAGCGCGCTGCCCCCGACATGAGCAGCCCACACACGCGAGTTATTTAATTATTTATTTAGCGAAAATTTCGACTTTGGTGCCAAACAGGCAGCTGGGGGGGGGGGGGGGATAAGAAAGATCGAACGGGGTTGGGGGGGTAGTAGAGGCGGTGGTGGTTGTGCTTGGTTGAGGCCCGGGGGGGGGGTGTTGGATAAGAAGAGTGTTGGATTGCTCACGCCGCACGGACCCGGTTTTGCGTGTGGTGCGCGCGAGCGACTCTCGATGTGACGGGAAGCGGCACCAGGAGGCGTCGGACGCGATGTGCTCGGTGGAGCAGCAAGCACCGCGACAGCAGCGGGGGCCCAAAGAGTTGGACCCTGGCGACTCCGCCGACGGGCGCCTCTCGGAGCCGCGGCCACTCTCGTGCCCTGCGAGTTGTACCGGAGGTAAAGAAAGTTGCGAAGTGTTTCTGGGTTTGTGGGGGAGCGAAGGAGTAGGGGGGGGGGGAGGAGTGGGGTGGGGGGATTCTGCACGAACGCGGCGCGGTAGAGTTGTGTGCTGTTGGGTACGCACGGAATTGTTGAAGTTGTGCGGCTTGATCACTCTCACCTGTTGAACGTCAGCATTTCCATGTGATCATAATAGCAGTAGCATCAGCGTTATGACCGCTGTCATAACCATCATCAATGGCCTGCGATTATGTCCGATTTCAGTCTTCGACTTCTTCTTCGTATGTCGAGCAACAACTATAATTTCACATTGCAGTGGTTAAGCCAGCCAATTGAGTGTCCGTGAATCGGGCATTGAGGGGCTATTTGTTCCACGTGGTTCTGTTCCAGAATGCAGTAATTTGTGGTCACCCAGAAGGTTGCAGAAAAGTTATGGATTATTGAATCGACCTGTACGGAGTTTAGAGCGTTATCTCCCTCGTATGCGTGGCGGGTTATTTCCGCATTCCCTGGCATTGGTACGCCCCATGCAGGACCCTCCTGCAAAGGGTCTTGAGACTCAGTGAGGCTGTTATATAAAGAGTTATTATTACTTTATTGCATAATCATTAACACAGTAAACATTTGTGTCCTTTCCATACCAGCATCTGGAGATGATTTTTTTTTACTTAAACTTCATGTGTTTTTGTTGTATGCGTTTAAGTTATTATGAAGGAGAGTTCAGTAGCCTAATATATATTGTTTAACTCTTTCCAACTCGAGTTGAACAAGTGAGCTGTGTGCGCTTCTCTGTCGTTCCGTCTGCAGCGGGAGGTCACAATAACTCCTCCTAAAGATGATGAGGACGATGTTGATAATGATCCAACGTAAATGAAATGTTATTACGACGTTGTCTTGCGACGAGGGACTTGTCCGAGAGAAACCCGGATAAATTGGTCAAATGATCGTTGCCCTAACATTGGTGATAACACTGAGCCGTAATTCATTAAAATGGCTTTTCGTCATTCCGTGTGACCTCGGTATTATTATTATCATGGCTAAATTGTTACATCGGAGGACGAAACGCGCGTTGAAAAATTAGTTAGAGATCCGTGGTTTGTCTTCTTTTCACGAACTATTTACACGGGCGAATATATGTGTGTGTGTGTGTGTAATGTGCGTTGAACTTCTTTACGCGCCGTGCGTAGCTCACCGCGTAAATCGGAGGTGCGGAGGAACGACACCAAACTGAACGAAACAAGCAATTCGCAAGGAATGAGTTTGCAATTGAGAGCATGCCCTGCCAGTGACGAGGCAACGTCGCATTCATTATACATTGCGTTCACTCTCATTTGAAAGCCGTGCGCGCGTTGTCAGCAATTCCTATCTGTCCAATCTGTGCCGCAATAATGACGATGGCTACACGACGCCGCTTTAGTCACAGCCATCAGCCTTCGTCAATCCACTGCTGGATGAAGGCCTCCGCCCCCCCCCCACCACGTCGTGTCGGTCGTCGAGGAACGTTTTAAGTTTTCGTTTATTTTGACCATGCTTCATCGCGCTTAAGCAGTGCGGGTTGGTGAAGGGAGTGAGGGACCCAGGGTTGTTTGAGATATCACTTCACTCTCCACTGACGTTAGCCGCGTGGGAACAATCGAACTCAGGTTATCGCGCGTACTGCTATATTTATTTAACTAGATAAGGGCCCACTGAGCTATATAGCCTTTTTTTTCACAAAGGTGGCTTCATAGCAGAAGTAAGTTGTATAGCAGCCACATACTCGAAACGCATGTTTCTTCATGTGGAACGGGAAATCCGGAGGACCCACGGTGAGAGCGACACGCAAACTCCAAACATAGTGTCGGAATCGACTCCACGACCTGCTGCATCGCAGGGCGAGGGAACTAACATCCAGCACTGCATTAACACGCGGCGTGCCAATGCTCCAAATTGACAGCACGTGCCTGTACTCGTGAGCAGACGATAACGAGTGACCTGGCTTTGTTATAAAAAGAAAACACAACGGCTGGAGAACTCGCCAAATTTCGTCGTTTTTTAAAAAAAATTGAGATAGTACGGCCCTTTTGTCAATCCACTGCGTGGAGTGAGGGGGGTTACTTCACCATATTTCACACTTGGTCTATGAGGCTTGGTGAAGGCAGCAACCACAGATGTGTGGAATCACAGAAGTACAGAAAAAACAAGACGTATTGCTGCACTGCCATCTGCCAACAACCCCCCCCCCCCACGGCAGCCTATATCATCATCCTGTGTGCACATGGTGGCCACTCGTCCAAGAACTATAATCGTAATCATTTACTTATTTATCCAGGGCAGCCACACTGAGTCATATGACTCTTTTTCAGGGGGGAGGGGCTACATTGGCTTTTTTATTTATAGATGTTTTCAGCCAATTAGTGAGTGATTATTCTACGCGTGGGAAGAAATCGAAGCACCCCGGGAAAATCCACGAGCGCGAGGGGGCAACACTCTATCCCCGTGCAGATGGAAACAGATGGCGATTACAGTCAACTTGCTGTACTGCCCTTCCCCTTGCAAGCCAAGCGTATGGCAACTTCATCGATGCCCACGGGAAGGAAAGTTTCACAACAACGTCCGTGGCGGTGATCCACCAACCCAGGCTGCTGCCTCAAAAGTGCTGGACTACATCGCCTGGCAGTTGTGGTAGTTGCAGTGTCGGATTATCCTAGTTGCACAAGTAGCTACACGTGTAGTAGCTACGGGCCCCGCACTTTGAAAGGCCACGCGCTAAATGCTTTCAAGCTATCAATATTTCGGTTCAGTGATTCTGCACTTGCTCTATTACTATAGTACTATACTGTCTTCAACTTTTATGAACGACTGGGTGTTTAAGGTTAGCGATTTGTCGTATTATCTGTCTGTATAGCAAATTAAAAAAGTACAATTACTTTACTATGCAAGCAAAAAATTGCGTTTTAATATCGATGTGTTTTTTTAGGTCCCCTTTATAACATATCAAACAGGCCCCACACTAGCTTAATCCGGCACTAGGTAGTTGGTTGCTCAACCCTGCTCAACTGTCATCAACACTGCCTTATATCAGCAAACATACAGTGAGGGAAAAAAGTATTTGATTCTCTGCTGATTTTGTACGTTTGCCCACTGACAAAGAAATTATCAGTCTATAATCTTAATGGTAGGTTTATTTGAACAGTGAGAGACAGAATGACAACAACAAAAAATCCAGAAAAACGCATGTCAAAAATGTTATAAATTGTTTTGCATTTTAATGAGGGAAATAAGTATTTGACCCCTCTGCAAAACATGACTTAGTACTTGGTGGCAAAACCCGTGTTGGCAATCACAGAGGTCAGACGTTTCTTGCAGTTGGCCATCAGGTTTGCACACATCTCAGGAGGGATTTTGTCCCACTCCTCTTTGCAGATCTTCTCCAAGTAATTCAGGTTTCGAGGCTGACGTTTGGCAACTCGAACCTTCAGCTCCCTCCACAGATTTTCTATGGGATTAAGGTCTGGAGACTGGCTAGGCCACTCCAGGACCTTAATGTGCTTCTTCTTGAGCCACTTCTTTGTTGCCTTGGCCGTGTGTTTTGGGTCATTGTCATGCTGGAATACTCATCCACGACCCATTTTCAATGCCCTGGCTGAGGGAAGGAGGTTCTCACCCAAGATTTGACGGTACATGGCCCCGTCTATCGTCCCTTTGATGCAGTTAAGTTGTCCTGTCCCCTTAGCAGAAAAACACCCCCAAAGCATAATGTTTCCAGCTTCATGTTTGACGGTGGGGATGGTGTTCTTGGGGTCATAGGCAGCATTTCTCCTCCAAACACGGCGAATTGAGTTGATGCCAAAGAGCTCCATTTTGGTCTCATCTGACCACAACACTTTCACCCAGTTGTCCTCTGAATCATTCAGATGTTCATTGGCAAACTTCAGACGGGCATATATATGTGCTTTCTTGAGCAGGGGGACCTTGCGGGCGCTGCAGGATTTCAGTCCTTCACGGCATAGTGTGTTACCAATTGTTTTCTTGGTGATTATTGTCCCAGCTGCCTTGAGATCATTGACAAGATCCTCCCGTGTAGTTCTGGGCTGATTCCTCACCGTTCTCATGATCATTGCAACTCCACGAGGTGAGATCTTGCATGGAGCCCCAGGCCGAGGGAGATTGACAGTTCTTTTGTGTTTCTTCCATTTGCGAATAATCCCACCAACTGTTGTCACCTTCTCACCAAGCTGCTTGGCAATGGTCTTGTAACCCATTCCAGCCTTGTGTAGGTCTACAATCTTGTCCCTGACATCCTTGGAGAGCTCTTTGGTCTTGACCATGGTGTAGAGTTTGGAATCTGATTGATTGATTGCTTCTGTGGACAGGTGTCTTTTATTGAGGTAACAAGCTGAGATTAGGAGCACTCCCTTTAAGAGTGTGCTCCTAATATCAGCTCTTTCTGATTGAGAGGGGGTCAAATATTTATTTTCCTCATTAAAATGCAAATCAATTTATAACATTTTTGACATGCGTTTTTCTGGATTTTCTTGTTGTTATTCAGTCTCTCACTGTCCAAATAAACATACCATTAAAATTATAGACTGATCATTTCTTTGTCAGTGGGCAAACGTACAAAATCAGCACGGGATCAAATACTTTTTTCCTTCACTGTATGCATGTACAATGGGCTGACGTTTCGAGCAATGGCCCTAGCATGAGGGCACGCGAGAGCTTTTGGGCTGCTCGTTCAGGCCATTGCAACAGAGGGCTGAACACTTTTTGTAATGCGTCTTTTTTCACCACACACACACACACTCTTATATATTGCTTGTACACCGGTGTTTGTTAATAAACTAAGACAAGGAGGTGGTTGGCGTTTTTCAGTCACTGCTATTCACCACTACTGTATGTACTTGATGCCAAATAGAACTCCCAAATGCTTTGCCGTTTCCTGTCGGATAATGAGAGGTACACACTGCGGAGCGAGCCAGCAATTGTGTGAGTCAGGCTGCCTCTGTCTGCTGCGGAGCAATTTGTCTGACTCACCCGGACCCCGCGCTCATTGTCGACCGCGTTAAAGTGCCCCGCGCGGCTGCGGTGTGCGAGGGGACTGTTCCTCGCTCGCTGCCGACCCCGCTGACGCCTCGTGGTCAGTTCAGTTCATTTATTAGGTAAAGCCCTGTGAGCCATGCGACTCTTGAATCGGATGCAACCGCAACAAACAAAAACATGAACAAGAAACATCTTAAAGTGACTACGCGCAACAGAAAAATCCAGGAAAAAACAGCAAACTCTTCCAGAAAAAGCACCGTATATCAACGCTGTGTGCAAAAATCCCAGTGGGATGCAAGTCAAACAATAACAACCATAAAACAATTTAGATTAAAGTTATCAGTCTAACTCTGTACGACAACAAACAAGCATGGCTAAACCAAAACGTTTTCGAGATCGCCAAAAATAAAGCTATAAAAAATATAACAGTGATCATAGGAACTGTGATTCAAAATGAGCAATAGACGATATACATAACATGTACGACCAAACTTTGCAGCCATAGCTAGAACAACAACAAGAACAACAAAAGCCGCCGTTTTGTTCATTCGCCTAAACGCAGCTCGGCTGTGGCGACATCTACGGCGGTGGAAAACTCTCTTGCTATCGACGGAACGTCCACACCCCCCACCCCTTCTCCCCAGGAAAGGATAGGGAATTTGGGGAGTTCCGTTCGGACGGCGGCGACGATGCGCGCCGTGGGTGACAGTCGCTCGCCATCGGCAGCCGTGTGTACGGAGTAGAAGGTGATCACGAGAATTAAAAAGAGAGAACTCGCGAATCACGCTCGAAGGGGCCACGACTCTCATCTTGACGAAAGTTGAAGAATTCGTCAGACCTTTTTTTTGTCTTTTACTTTCTTTCGATGTGTTCGATTACCAACACGATGGCAGTCCTAACGCATCGGCGGTCTGTTGCTACTACGGATGGGTTTGTTGTTGTTGTTGTTGTCCGCGGCACGTGCTGCAGAGGAAACGGAGTTTCCTGAAGAAGGTCGCAGAATGTGGAGCGAAACGACGGACAGTGTCCGGACAACGTAGAGAACCACCCGATACCACGTCAGACACACACACACACAGAGCTACCTCAGTAGCCTGCTGCCCTGCATCTTCGACTAGCACGGTTGGCTACGTATGGTGCAAAAGAAGTTCAACATACACACACGTACATACACCAAAACCTCCGATTTAACACCTCCTATTAGCACGGTTGGCTACGTACGGTGCGAAAAAAGTCCAACATTTACATACACCTACATTTCCCATTAGCACATCCGATTAGCACGGCTGGCTAAGTACCGTTGTGAAAAAAAGTTCAACATGTATATACATACACAAAAACCTCCGATTAGCACCTCCAATCGGCATGGTCGATACGTACGGCGCAAAAGAAGTTCAACATACGTATACACATACAAGCCCATCGCTGAGCAATTGCCGGTCTCTATCCGCGTGCCGAGAGCCCTGCGGAGAATGCGGTGCAAGCGAAGGGTCGCTGCTGCTGCGCGCGACACGCTGCCCTCGTGACCCCGTGTGCGTGTGCGCGTGCGCGCGTGTGTGTGTACGTGCGCGCGTGTGTGTGCGCGTGCGTGTGCGCGCGCGTGTGTGTGTGTACGTGCGCGCGCGCGTGTGTGTGCGTGCGCGCATGTGTGTGTGCGCGTGTATCTCCGCGCGCGTGTGTGTGTACGTGCGCGCGTGTGTGTGTGTGTACGTGCGCGTGTGTGTGTGTGTGTACGTGCGCGTGTGCGTGTGTGTGTACGCGCACTCGCGTGTGCGCGAACGGCAGCAGGCGTGAGCGGCCCCTGCGCGCCGGCTGTCCCTCCCGACGAGCCGCCGGCGTCGGTTCCGAGGAGGAGCTCGACATCGGCGGGCGGGTGCAGCTCGGCCGGCGGGACTGAGGAGGAGGAGGAGGCGTCGGGGGAAGAGGCCTCAGAGCGAGGTGCCGACCGCGTGTTTTTTTCTCTGCTCGTCGGTTTTTTGTTTGTTTGTTCTTCCGTTGGCGCTGAGCCGGTCAAGTTTTTAATTGACCGCGCTGCGATGTGGTTGTTTTTTTTTTGGGGGGGGTGTGCCGAGCGGTGTTCTGAATGGTGTTGGGAGGTCCGCGGTCCACTCTCTCAGGGCTTCTACAGGAACTGACATTCGATTAGAACGTGAAGACGCGCCGGAAAGGCCGTAGATCACAACGACGAGGATCGATGCAGTTGGCCCTTCATCTTCTTTCTTGGCCATTGACGCCACACTTGTGGGAAAATGTCTCTCAGCATGTGATCCACCATTCACGATCTCTTTGCCACTCACCTCCTTCAAGCGAACCAACATATTCCCATCACATCCTGCCATCTCATTTTCAATCTAAACTCTCTATTTCATTCCCTCTATTGGTCCTCGATGTGACGTAAATTTTTACCCGTATGTCATCTGATGGGTGTCCTAGAAAATGTCCTGCTTCACCCCATTATTATCATTATCATCATCATCAATATTATTACTACGCTTGTTTATCCAGGAAAGCCTCACTGAGTCTCATTGCTCTTTTTAAAGAGGGGTTTGCCACATTTCTGCAGTAGAGAGGGGTGGGGGGGTGGGTGTTGATTATTGCCATGTGTTCCAATTGAGAAATTCTCTCCAGTTCAGTTTAGTTTTTTGTTAATTTCAAAGCAAAAGAGGTAACTCAACTTGCGAATATGCACACGTCTAACACTTGGTTATGAAGTTGCATTTTGTCGCAGAATCCCGTTCACATAAAATTAATGCGATTCTGTGTTCGCTAAGTTGCATTGAGGAGCGATTCGAAGTTGGCGCCTCTCCGACATTCACGTTACGGCATTGATCACGTGAATGCGGCTGCTGGTATTTCATACACTCTCTCTTTGGGATAAATGCACTTGCAATGGGAATACAACCGTTGAGTGGCATGACCAATACTAATACACTTACGGCATCTGTGCTTGTAAAATAAAAGCAAATAATGCGTGATTGGCCATTCAAAAGTACAAAGAGAGGTCCTAACGTTTGGTATTTTACCAACATTAGATGACAGTGGTACCTTTGTTGTGCGATGAGGAAACGTGACAAATGACGCCTCAACAATAATTATTCATGCAAAATATATAAACAACATACATGCAAATATTTTATTTATAACAACAAAAACCGATAGCATTAAATACAAATTTTTGGCAAAAAATAATTGCTTATTTTTGTTCTTGTTTAAAAGTATAAGTAATGATCAGGTGGAATGAATTATAAAGAAAAACACAGGGAAAGTTGTTGGACTCAAATAGAATAATAAAATATTTTCAATTTTTTTACAGAAATGAAATGCATGCCAAAACACACATTGATGAAGTTTAAAACGGCATCGCATTATTTTTTGATCAACCAATTCCCTTTTCACGACATTTACCGACGTTGTTCTTACCCGAAGTGGAAATCATGAGCGTACACGCGTGCCAACGCAATAAACATCCATTGGAAAGTAATACCAACAAACAAAAAATATTCCTCCAGTGCGCGTGTGTACTTGGCTGGGCCCAGGACAGTGTCATCATCCTCAATGTTCAGTGCTCTGAGTCCTCCGCCCAGTCTGCTCAGAAGGAAATCCCTCCCCCGCTCCGACCCCATTTCCCTGCCCCCCCCCCCAACATTTCCCCCCCACCTCCTCCTTAATTTGCGTCATAGGCTGCACCTCTCTGGACCCGCAGTTCAGGCTAACCCAGAGGGTTCCATCTGACCTCGTAGGCCACGCAATGATCCTATTGGTCTTGTCGGGTCACCATTCATGTGCACATTTAAAAACAAAACAAAACTGTTCATCAGGACACATTTTTTGTTAAATGTAAATTCTCATCAGGCCCCGCGGTGTAGAGTGCAGTGTCTGACTCTTATGTCCCACCCTCTCTCCCAGGGCTTCTCTATCGATGCCCATACTAGACATCTGTGGGAAAAAAACAGAGCTTCATAGCTCATCGGATTGCTCTAGACTAAATCCATATTCTCGTTCTGTGCTGTGAAAAAAGGTATGTGGCCCAAAGCATTGCCTATTACATATTTTTTCCCCTTTATAAGGCTGGAGTGTTATTGACGGACGAATGATTTGAGTTTTTCTTGGTTTATTATTTGTGCTTGTGCACCACTGCCAATACAGCGGCAGCAGCAGCACCATAGAATTCGTCTCGTGTAAAAAAGTAGTGCCCATGCACAGCGAGGCAGGTATAAACATGGTTGAGGGATGGTGGAGTCATTTGGGGAGAAAATGTTGGTTCGTCCTGGTAGCTGCGTCCCAAATGCAGTTGAAATATAGCTGAGTGGAGCTGATTGGTGGGCCCACACTTCAGCAGAGTACTCGGCTGCTGAGCAACGTAGTGGCAAGGGTGGATGTGCTACCTCCGATTAGCACGGTTGGCTGTGCACAGTACGAAAGAAGTTAAATATAAATTCATATGTGAGATGAACGAAAAATGACCCCAAGCCAATGTGCAGGCTATTCGAAAATATTCAAAGGTCTCCGATTGGTAGAAAGAGAGCTCCACGGTGATTGGTCGGGAGGCAGACTTTTAAAGGGATCACGTGGGAAACGGAGGGGATCCGTTAGAGGGGAAGGACAGGGATTGGCTAAGGGAAAAATAAATGAGAAGGTTCCAGAAAGGAGGCTCGAGGAGTATAAAAGGGGAGAAGCACGAGGAGTGAGGACGTTCGAAGCAAGTTACGAGCTGAAGATGGGAACGCAGCATAGGGCCCCACATTGTGGCTGCGTCCCCAATAACGTGGCTCTTATTACATCGTCGTCAGAGTCGTTACACATACATGCCTCCCCATGTGGATGCAGCTCGCTTGCTAAGCAAGTGATTTCACGTCTTGACTTTGGCAGCAGGCTCTAACAGCTGGCAATGGTGGGCCAGTGCCCTATGAAGGAGCGATTCAGAGGTAAACTGATTGAGGCTCCATGCTCAATATACATTTTCATGCATGAATACATTTAGTTCACTTTGTCGTGATAAACGTGAAACGCGCTTGAAACCATTTCCACCAATTTCAGTAGCAGACGCCGTTGATGGCAGTCGTTGGCTAAACCCGTCAGGCTGGAGTTTGAGGATGTCTTCTAGATCAGTGTGTTAACCCCAGCTTGAGTTCCGCAGCAAATGCCATCAACATACGTAAACTCGTGGGGCTGCGTGTCTGGCAAGTCGTTGGTATCTAGATTGAAGTGAAATTAAGAGCCGGAACAAATTCCAGGGTTAGATCATTGAACTGAGAGTGACGATGACCTGGTTTTTATCGCCAATATGAACTCTTAAAACGTTGGCCTCATAGGAGACGTTCCACTGAGTTTAGAGCCTAGCCTGGCAGCGCTCTTAGGCAGACTTACAAGCAGACCGTAATGCCCTAGGTGGATACCAGGCCACTGAACACGGTGCTCTCATTCAGCCGTTTCCGACGAAGGTTGATTTGGTGCCAGCAATTATTGACAGGTGCTGCAAGCATTGGGCGAAAGCCGGCTTGCCATGTGACGAGAATGCTTGTTGTTAAAGAATTCAATCATTCTAGGACCTTGAAGCAGATGCTGAGCAGAAGATGTATTACGGTAGCTGCCTGCATTGTGTGGCTCCTTACCTGGCTTAAGCAGGATGTATGTTGAACTTCTTTCGCACCGTACGTAGCCAACCATTCTAATCGGAGGTGCAGGATGATGACTTTGATTGGCGCGAAAGCTCAGGTCAACTACCATGGGTTAGAACTCTCAAGTATAAGCTTGCACAGGTCACGTGTGTTTCAGTGGTGGGGTGTTACCATCATGCAAACTCTGGTCACCCTCACAGCGGCTTTTGGCTAACCATCGAACAAAGATGGTCACTGCATCGCGTGCTTTCGGATGCGCTTTCTGTCTGGAACGCCCTTCCGATACTCAGAAGCTACTGGAGATATGCACTTTTAAATCTGGATTGAAAACTCGTTTATTTCGGACTGCTTTTGGTGTTTCGTTTTTTGTCCTTCCTGCGCACCTCCGATTAGCACGGTTGGCTGCGTATAGTTTGAAAGAAGTTCACCGCACATACTGTACGTATATACATACATCATGGGGCAGTGGCGAGCTTTAAGCTGCTCAGACCAATCTTCTCCCGCTGTGTTTAGCGAGAGGGAGGCTACCGGGGGGGTGCCGATTTGGCTTCGCTAGCAAAGTCACTGTCGACATTCGTCGACCGCTCACCGATGAGCACCCTGATCGAGCGAAGCTTCGCCACCTTGCAGACGACGAGCGGGGACTTGGTTTGGGGTGACCCGCTGGGCGGCCGTGGCTTGGTGGACGCTGTGTGGCACTGAGCTTTTTTTAGGCGCCAGACTTTTTTTTGCGACTTGAACAATTGGTGTTCAAGTTGAGATACTCGTTTTGTTCCTGGTGGCCACAGCGAGCGGGTGCCTAATGATTCTACGAGGCGTGTGGTCAAGGCGAGATCTCAGCGAGCGGGTGCCTAATGATTCTACGAGGGGTGTAGTCAAGGCGGGATCTCCGGATTTGTTTCATTTTGTCGAAGCAGACCGGCACATTCATCATCGACACATGGGAGCGCAAATTTGGCGGGGAGCCACGTGGAATCACCGAACTTGCAGCTTTGCACAGCACAGGACGGTGGAAATGCCAGAATTGTTACAACGGTGCGTTTTAATACTTCAGTGTAGGCAATCCAGTCTGCTGTGTGAAATTTCCATGAGGGCTTTTGGATGCTTCTAATCGATGCTGGAAGTTGGAGACCAATTGGAATTAACGATGGGCGGTGTTGACTGTGAGGGGGAGCAAATGGGTCTAGCACAGCTCATGAAGTTGGCAAGGCTTTGGCCTCGACTGACGTAACCCAAGCTGAAGTCTGGTGATAAATAAAAGCGAATGTAAGCCAAGTACACATTCGTGAGAGACCATAAACATGATGAATATTTCATTGC